AGTAACAATGGCAAACCATTCATTAAGGGCCTCATCGACATCTGGGTCCTTGCCTTCACGCTTCTTTTTTTTGGAAGTTCCTCCTCGTCCTTCACATTGTACCCATTCTTCTCGCAGCTCATTCTCTTGTTTTATCATGCACGAAATTGTAGTCTTCGCCAATCCGGTTATTTCCACCAACCAACGCTGACTAGTGTTTCATGGTTGTTGCTTGACCTTATCCAGAAAACCAATTTTTTCAGCTAACATCAAGTGCCATCATGGCATTTTGGCAGGGAAGACAAGAGATGCACACAGTTCACTGACTAAAGTGGTCTGAATAAATCTTGGTGATTTGGGTTCAATATGTTGAGGTCAAGAGGGAAATAAAATGCTCGCCATTCAAAGCTTTGGCACTCAGATCATCCCAAAAAGGTGATGAAATGATAGCTTTCTCGTGTAACTTTGATCATGATTTACAGGCGGGAATTCCTTTCAGGTGGAGCCGGACACGCTATTGTTCATTTCCTCGAAACTCGGAGGTGCAGGTCAAAGAAAGATAAAAGAAAATGGTGCGCGTGTTCACCTCCCACCAGTTTTCCTTTTGTCATGCACTTTAAGGAATTCCTGGCCTTTAATAAAGCATTTTCCTGGGGAGCCGCAGCTACAGATCCTCCCATATGTTGTGGACCATATGTACATCCGCTGTGAGCGGCCGACTTGTGGCTTGTTTGTTATTCCCTCTCACATTTTTTGGTCCGATTAAACAGAATTTTAGTCCAAATAAGTGAATAATATTAGGCTTATGTACATAGGATTTGTTTCGGTTCTATAGAATTTGGTCCAAAACAGTGGCTGGTCTGATTAAGCGGATTCGACTGTAGCATGTTTTTTTCGTCTAATTTCACAATGAAGCAACGTAGAACCAAGAAATTTACAGGACACGTTCACTAAACAGTTCTTTAATGAATGCTAGAGAGAATGTTTTTAAAGTTCAACACAAACATGAATTACAACAATTTGCACTCTTGGCAGAGAAATCCAGTCTTCGAGAAACAGTAGTATATCATTTTTTTTTAGGAAAAATGGAGTGGTAACATTACAAAAATGAGTTTTAATAATGAATGTGTCCACCCCAAACTGCAATACATTGGCGGCAGCGATGTTCCATGCTCTCAATTAAGTTGTCGGTTTGAGAAATGGGAATCAATGACCAGACACGGAGCAATCCTTGTTCAATCAACATCCAACAACCTTAGAGAACTTAAAAGCAGAAAATTGTCTCCAAACGTAGTCCCAAAAATGCTCTATTGGATTAAGGTCTGGAAATTGAGCTGGCCATTCCATCCGTTTCATGCTGTGACCCTTAAAATATTCTTCAGCAACACGAGCTCAGAGTGGTCGCGCATTCTCTCCATTAAAAGAAATCCAGGACCAATAGCAGCAGCATGTGGGCAGATGATCAAGGATCTCGTCTCGCTATCTCACACTGGTCAAAGTTTCTCCATGGAACACAAGCAGTGTGACCACCGAGAGAGATCCCAGCCCAAAGCATTATTTCACCACCTCTGTAACTGTGTCTTTCCATAATGTGAGACTGGTTGTATCTGGTGTGCTGTTTCCTCCAGATCAGCTGATGACCTGAATCACTCTCCAATATGAACTTGAACTCGTCAGTGAGAACAGATGCCCATTGCTGACTGGTCCAGGAGAGGTGTTATCTTGCCCAACATAAACGGCACCTCTGCATCCTTGGGTCAAAGGGACACAAACAACTGGTCCTCTTGCATACAGACCTGTATTGCGCAAGTGTAGTAGCTGCAGTAGCTGAGATTCTTGTTCCTGTTTGGCAATAAATGATCTGCCATGAGCTGAGGCACAGTAATGCTACTCCTCCTTTGGGCCGGAAGAGCTAAATAATGGTCTCACGCAGGTGGAACTCTAGGTCTACCTAGAACGTATCTTCTAGACACAGAATTCTCAGATGCAAACTGATTCCATAGTCAGTGGACCCCACCACGAGAGACATTGAGACATCTAGCAGCAGCAGCTTATGACATCCCCATTTTCATCCTTCCGATCGCCTGCCACCTCACGAATCAGCAAACAATTTCTCCTCGACACTGATAGACTCTCATGGATATTGTCCACAAAACTGTAATAACAACTGAAGATCAAAACTTGTGAACAATAATTACATTTTTTGCATTTTTCTCCAACTCCTACATAAGTATTCATTTCTATAAAATAAAAGTGGTAGCTATTGTTTTTGCATATCTTTTTTTAAATTTCGTTACTGTCATGCATATGAACTGTGAATTTAAATGTTACTGGCATTTTTGTAATGGTGAACTTTAAAAAAAGTGCTGTTCCTTAATGTTTGGAGGGCAGTGTATTTCAAGACAATACCTTCCATTATACACTAAAGAGCTAAGACATTTAAGACCACTCACTCAATAACGAGGATAACACTAAAAAAGAACAGAAGATTCAACTTTAAATGAGTTAATTACTCTTCATATGCAATCGCCAAATAATGGTGAGAATAATCTCAAACACTTCTGATAAAATAGAATTGTTGAACCAAATTTAATTACTAATAAAATAAGTAGAACTTTTCATCCACATTCATTAACCCCCTCCCCCCCCCCGCACGCGTTCCTTCTCAAATAGATTCAAATATTACTGTAATGCTCAGTACACTGATGGAAATACAAAAACTGTTATTAGATAGACAAACAAACACTAAATATTCTCTTAATTACATTCAAAAATAATACTGCAAATTCAGTTAAATTTTTTTAAGGAAATGCCATTGACAATGCCTTTGAATGGCTCAAGAATGTTGAAGAATTTCAACATTGGCTCACTGGTCAGACAAACTAAAATTAACTGATGCTATTTCTAACCTCATTCAATTCACAAAAAAATTGTAACAAAGAAAAATTACATTGATTGGATTGCATGGAAAATTGCTTTCACCTCAAAATTTAAAAGGCTCATCAAAATGCTAGAATTTTTAGAACACCAAAGTGAACAAAAATTGAAGCACAGCAAAACATAAGTTGATTATGTTTACACAAAAGATGTCCTGATGGGGCAAACTCTCCTTCACTATTCCACAACCTTTCAATAACAATTGGTGACATTACAGAAAAATGACAAATTGCCTCAGCTACCCATAATTCTAACACTGTTGAGGAATTAATAGACAGGGCAACAGCATTTAACACAGTTCAAACTGCAAAACAAGAGAACAAGCAACATCAGTCGCTGAAATCTCAAATAAGATATTTTAATACGTGTGATGAGAAGCAACATAATCTGGCAAATGATGACATTGAAAGATGTTACTGGTAATCAGTGTGGATGTGAAGGCTATGTTTTTTTTATGTGCAGTTTACTGTCTCCACAATGAGGTTCACCAATAGCTCAACCAAAAAATATATCACAACAATTTCAAGAATCCAACAGCCACTGCTTCTAGCAGCTCAACCAGTTCTCCTAACACACTATGTGGCGGTCATGGATATTTCAAATAAGATCTAATACACATGATGAGCAACAATGTAAATATCTCACAACTGATGACAATTTTACTTGTAGGCAATGTGGATATGAAGGCCATGCCTCTTTTATGTGAACCTCAATGAGGTTCACCAACAGCCACAAACTATATCACACTAATTTCAAGAATCCAACAGCCACAAAAACAACTTGCTTCTGCCTTCCACTGGCACAACCAGTTCTACTAATAACACACTATGTGATGCCACCAGTTTTAACTTTTCAGATTCAAATGCAAACCAACTGCAACTCAACAACTGAAAGATCTATGCCCATAAATAAAATAATAATAATTCTGGAACTCATACAAATTAGGATACATTAATACCTAATGTTATTAATAATAGAATTGAAATACAAGCCATATGTGATCTATGTGTAGATGCACCGTTACTCAACTATCTCACATTTTAGTTGATGTTGTTATTCATTAGTAGATTGATGAAGAGTTTCAAGTTGTTGATCACGACACAGGTGTCACAGATGATACTTTTGGAAATGTATTGTCGCTCTGGATAAACAAGTATCAATAATTCTAATATGCTAAAAAATATTTTTTTACAAAAATTATTTCAATAAATGAGTATGCATTCTAGTAATTAAATCGAAAATTACAACAAATGTATTACATAATTAAACAAAATAATAAAAAATGTATATTCTATACAAATACAGTCAAAAGTCGTTAATTTGGACACACATAATCTGGAATGATCTATAATCCGGACATCAAAGCTACAAACTTTCTGCGCACGCCTGCGTAAGACCTTTACGGCTGCGCATAATACACTTACGCATGCGCGTTTAATGTATAACGGAAGATATAAGCTAAAATTATCTAATTATCTATTTCAGTTAATGTTGCAGATTGCATTGTTCCTTAATCTTCGAATTGGATCCTGCTTATCATTTTTTGCAGACTGTTAGAGCAATTTTATAAAAGTAAGCTTGAACTATCGATTATGTCAAAAAAGAATTTCCGACGCTGGAGCTCCCAAAGGATCTACAAAGCGAAAGTATGTTTTGATGTCCATCAAATAAAAAGTGGAATTGCTGCAAAAAAAATGGATAAAGGCATAATCACATAAAACGAAGCAACTTAAACAACTTACATTGAAAGAAATGTTTAATAAAGTAAACAAATAAATATTAAGCTTTTTTTGGGGGGGTAAATTTTCATACTCTTTAGATCATAATTGTTCTTTATTTCATAAATTACGGTTTCATATTTTTAATTTTATAATTTCTGCATGCCATCTTACCAGATTTAAACTGATGATCTATAATCCGGAAAAATCGATAATCCAGAACCGCCAAAGTCCCGACAAGTCCGGGTTAACGACTTTGACTGTATATATATATATATATATATATATATAATTTAATTTAAATATAAATAAAATTAAACACAAAAACACAAAGTATATATCTAACAAGATATAAGAATGTCTTACCAATCATGAGTCTCACAGTTTCAGGATTGAAAGGCCGCCAGGTTCCTACATTTTAAGAATTTAACTATTAAAAAAAAATGCTCATATAGCATGAAATTATTTTCACAGCACAAAAAAACTTCACCTGTTATAATTATATAATAATATATTTATACTTATATTTTTCCCCACGAATAAAATAGTTAATAGCCTACATTTTTTCCACATATGTAAAATGATTCGATTAGTTTGACTATGTTACACATTCATACAAATATATCTACAGGCTGTATTTAAAAGTTACTACAGTTTTTATAAAGTCATAAAAGATAAATAAACTGCAATATGAGGACAAATTCTGCACTAACATGTCTGCTAAAAATTTGGAATTTCTTAAGACAATTTTTGTTTAAAATTCCATAGTGTTACATTCTTATCCCATTCTTGAATATTATTTAATGAATGTAAGCTTGCTAAACCAGCAATGAATTTCATGAAACAGTCCAAAAATTGTCGATTTTTTTAAATCACAGATTTTGGAAAAAATAATTGCATATTTAGATGAATAACATGCAAGAAATTATTTATATGTCAAAAATGGAGTACATATACACCAAAGAGCCATTACGTTATCATCACCCTCCATCTATAACAATGGGCTCGCCCAGAAACAAAACCACTGCACATGCGCCGCTGATGTTGGAATAATAAAGTGGCTATGCATTCTCTTCCAAACATAGGGCAACTAGCGACATAATTGAAAAGCAGCTGATTTATCAGATTTTGATGAATGTCAAATCATTATGATTCAGCGACTGAGAACATCAACATCAGAAACGCCACGTTTAGTGGGATGTTCATGTGCAGTTGTTGTGAGCACATATCGAAAGTGTGTATGGATGGTGAAATTACAAGTCGTTGGCCAGCAGTGTGTTGTCGATGGCACAATGATTCTAGAGGACAGCAGAGATTGTTACGCATTGTTCGCCGAAACCGAAGAGTTACAACAGCCGGAATCAACACTAACAACCACAGTGGTGACTCAAACAGTGTTTCTCTACACACTCTTCAGCAATCATCGCTGCGTATGGGCCTACACAGCTGGAGGCCAAAGCATGCAACTGTACTGATGGCACGTCATTTCTAACTGCAATGGGCAAAGAAACATCAGAATTGGACATTAGAAGACAGTTGCATGGTCAATGAATCACATTTTCTTGTCCATCACATCGACGGGCATGTTCTAATACGTCAATTTAACACGAAACCCTGGCTCCTGGATGCACAGTTGGACACAGACAAGTCGGTGGCGGGGATATTATGGTGTAGACAATGTTTTCATGGAGTACATTAGGATCCATAATCCCCATAGAATAATCCCTGATGTCTGTGCACTACATGAACTTTGCTGAAGACTAGTTCACCCATTCATGACAACAGTATTTCCAGCGGGGGATGGTGTTTACGAACAGGATAATGCATTATGTCATAAGAGTCAAATTGTCCGGGAAAACGTAATGTGAATTTATGACATATGTCCAGAGCTTTATCGGCAGGAATATGGTTGAACTGGTTTGGGAAGCAACAACATATTAAAGAGATTTTAGGTTTCATTGTTTTAAAAAATAAGTGCCCATAGAATGAGGTCACATGTGTACCAAAGCAATTGTAATGCGCGGAAGTGTCTAAGTGCCTATATTCACAATTAACATCAAACAAGGACCCCCTCCTCCACACACACACACTTCATGCAATGTGTCATTTATACAAAGTCAACATTTATACAAAGAATGGTCCGATTTTGATACTGAAAACACAGCACAACTAAACATTTAATTCTAATTTTTTTTTCAATTTTAACTATAAATTGCAATAGTTAAAACTTCATCAAAATTAATAGACAGCATCAGTTGGGATCAAAATTGATTAGGTTTTGTAATGTCACAGCTGAACAATTTTGAAAACTGTTAAACTGTATATAGTCAAGGCAAATGTATTTCACCAGTGAAATAATTAACACATAATTCCCAAATAACAACTTTGATCAGTCTATCAAATTTATGTTTACAAGATCAAATTCAGTATCCGTATTAGTTACTTGATCATTCAACAAATTAAAATCTTTCCTGAAATTAAACATAATATGAAGACAGAATGGTATTTGGCTGTAAATTTAGTTTGCTCCTTTCCCAGATTCCTGAGGAACAAGATAAAAAGTGCAAATTTCTTGTATTCAGGTTTGTGAAATTACATTTAAAATTTATATTTGTAAGCAAGAAAATTTTTCCATACAAACAAGTTTAAAATTATCATACATACCATTAGAAAGTGCAGACTGAAGCTCAGTTGCTGTTATAAAACCACTCCTATCTTTGTCAACACTGAAACCAGAAATTTTCATACATTATTCAGCCAAAAAATTGCAAATACAGTACAAAAATAACAAATAAAATACAAATACAGTACAAATAAAAGTACAAATACAATATAAAGGCAAAATCCGGACTCGTCGGGACTTCAGCAATTCCGTATTTGGGATTTTTCTGGATATTAGATCATTAGTTTAAATCTAGTAAGATGGCATGTCGAAATTATAAAATTAAAAATACGAAATCGTGATTTATGAAATAATGAAGTATTTACGATCTAAGTTGCTCTGTTTTTGTGCTCATACTTTCTCTTTAATTCTGTAGAGAGACATAACCTCTTGTTCAGTTACATTGTTGAAGTCCTGTAAATGTTTCACTGATACTGTAACTGATCTAGAACCATACTACAGATTTCGCCATTCATTAACTGACTGATGATTGAGAAGCATTGTCATGACAATGAAAAACTTCTTTTATATCATCTTCATTTATTACTGCTTCTCCACATTTCTTTACAAAATCCATTAATTGGAAAATTTCACATTTGTTTTGCAATATCCAAAAACTTTAAAATTCGTGGCTATCATCATCAAATTTAGCTATCCTTCACTATACATATTTGGCTATGCATCATGAGCTTGGTGACTAACGACAAGTTGTCCTCTAACATTTTACTTCGTGCACTGAAACAATTAAGCCTGAATTATATTAGTTTAGTTATTAATTATACTTATTTCTATTTCTTGCACATGCTTAAGGCTTATTAGAGTTTTGAATATATAAATTCCTACATATACTTAAGCCTTATTGAAGGCCGGCGCTAGATATCTTACCGCCTGATGCAGTCTCTGAGGGCCCTAAATTCTGAGACTTTGTGCGGCCATACAACCCTGGTGCTGGTTCTGGGTTTATGTGAATAAAAAATCAGTTATTCTTAATTCAAATAGTCCTAAATGTAATTTTTGAGTCTATGAGTATCATCAACAAAATCTACTTTTAGCATATGGAAAGAAATTTTTGGTAAATTTTTTCTCGTCAACATTTCTAACACATTTACCTAAATCTGTAATCATCGCCAAGCATAACGTCAACATAAAAGGTTACCATACTCTTTTATTATTCAATTACTAACATTAAAAAATTGCTTAGGCACCTCTACATGAGTCATTACTCAAGTTGTCATGTTTTGATAAACATGCGATGATGAAAGAAAAGTATAATAAATAATTATTCGCCAGGTTGGCGTCAGATCAATGATGTATCTATGTGGAATGTTTCTGTTTGAGATGTGCGCCAAAAAGCAGATACGCAGCCAGCAACAAACTAAATTACTGTATAAGGCATTTCTCCCACTTCCCTAGCATGCCTTCGTGATGTAACAGTAGCACACTGGGCCGGTATTCCAGAGGTCCGTGGTTCGATTCCCGGAGAAGGCGTTTGCTATTTTTCATCTTTTCTGCTTCCAATTAACCTAATGACTCTACAAGTGGCACCCAAACTAAAAGGGTTGTGGATGTTAATTCTCCGCACCCAGGATTTGGTGACTAGGTCCCCTAAAACCCTAGTCGTCCTTTAAAAAGGGGAGTATATAAGGTATTTTTCCCACTTCCCTAGCATGCCTTTGTGGTGTAACGGTAGCACACTGGCACGGTATTCTAAAAGTCCGTGGTTTGATTCACGTCGAAGGCATTTGCTATTTTTCATCTTTTCTGCTTCCAATTAACCTAATGACTCTACAACTGATCGTACAAATTTATGCTAAAACATTTTTTTCTTCAATAACAAGGTATTTTATTTAGTGTCAAATAAACATTAAGAATCAATACTCTCCAGATGTTTTATTATGTGTGGAGGGGAGAATCAAATGTGCATGCATAAAACCTAGGAGAAAAACATTGTTGGTTGTTTTGAGGTCTGGATTTTAGATCATTCTGGATAATGGACATCCGTATTTTGGACTTTGTACTGTATAAAATGAACATCTATTAATAATTAATTCAGCCCTTTCTTCTTTTAATCAACTCAACATTTTCTTTGAAATTCAAAATGCAATGTTTTGAAAATTTTTTAATTATAGACCCCCATCAGAAGTTTTATACCAAAATAAGATTTTCAATGATTTTAATGAGTTCCAACATTTTCTACAAATATTTTAATTAAAAAGCATAGTTGTTTTAACAACATTATTTACAAAACCTTAAAAAAATCAGATTAAGGTATCTTTACTAAACAGTTTGGTGAATTTTTAAAATTGATGACATACGTTTTGGAAAGAATGACTTAAGTACAGAAAGGTACTTTAAAATATTTTCTTCATACAACAGGAGCACAATACCACATCATTAGAAGATGGCTATATCTGGGAAGTTTATGAGCACCATTTAATTTACGGAGTTTAAAAGTAATGACAATACATATTGGATTCATCATGTGTTACTGAATAAACAAATCATTTGTGCACTAAACTAATGGGATAACAATATAGCTTAATTCATATATACCTGCAGTGGCATACGATTCTACAGTTTGACTGAAACACAAATTGAATTATATGCTATCAGATTATTTTAGACCACAGATAAATTTGTTAAAGATACTTTGTTTTTCTTGAAAGATTTTTCATATTAAAAATAATTATCCAAAATATAACAATATTTAATTCATTAAAAGTCAAATCAGTGTATTCATACTCTTTTTGGATGATTATACTTTTACAGTCTAATACAATCAAAAGTCGTTAATCCGGACTCGTCGGGACTTCGGCGATTCCGGATTATAGATCATCAGTTTAAATATGGTAAGATGGATGCAGAAATTACAAAATTAAAAATATGAAACCGTAATTTATGAAATAAAGAACAATTATGATCTAAAGGGTATCAAAATTTACAAAAAGAAAAAGCTTAATATTTATTTGTTTACTTTATTAAACATTTCTTTCAATGTAAGTTGTTTAAGTTGCTTCGTTTCATGTGATAATACTTTCTCTTTAATTCTATTAAAGATACATAATTTCTTGTTTAGTTACAAAGTTCCGCTGTTCAAGTCCTATAATTGCTGTGTCGAGAATACCGACTAATTTGTCAATCGAAATTTTTTCGTTTTCAATAAGCTCTGTGTCACTTTCTTCACTATCGAAAGCGAATTATAATGACGAGGTACTTGATTTAAATTATATCAAAGACGGAGTACATCGAGATGAAATACTACATTTAGTAAGGAATCATAAGCCAAATAAAATAAAAACATCTGTCCTGAAGATAAGGATAGTGCTGACAGATCAACTTCCAATTCATTGTGCACCGCGGCGCCCCCCCTCCCACCGCAGAGCAGCGTGAAATTGATAAACAGGTTTCAGATTTTAAAACATACTTTCGCTTTGTAGATCCTTTACATATTAGTAAATATATATCAGAAATTCTATTTGACATAATCAAAAGTTCAAGCTTACTAAATTGCTCTAACAGTCTGCAAAAAATAATAAGGCGGATCCAATTCGAAGATTAAGGAACAATGCAATCTGCAACATTAGCTGAATTAGATAATTTTAGCTTAGCTTATACCGTCCATTATACATTAAACGTGCATGCATAAACGTATTACATGCATGCGCACACGCATATTTGCAGCCGTAAAGGTCTTACGCGCACGCATAAACGCTTATGCGCATGCGTCAACGCGACACACGCGCAGAAAGTTTGTAGCTTTGAGGTCCAGATTATAGATCATTCCGGATTATGGGTGTCCGAATTAACAACTTTTGATTGTAGTATTATTTTAACCAATGACAGCATACTCAATGTCAATAAGAAACCTCGTTCCTTATAAAAATAAATATTGTTTAAATTTATTAATTTCTTTAATTAGGACCTAAAATACATCAAACAGTTGTTCTCTTAGTGACTTAAATTAACAAGGCCTAAGTGCATGGAATGAATTTTTTAACTTTAAGATCATGAAGATTCTAAAAGTGTGAAAACATGCTACTAATAAAGGTATTTGAGGTCTTGTTACTTGTTATTTGGGATCTTGTTAACACCCATTTAGAGAAAAATAACATCTTTTAATAACAAATATATATATAAGCGTGGAATATAAATCTCAATAAATCTAATTGTGCATGCACGAGGAAGAGAACTGGAGGCACTGAAGAAATGTGGGAAAGGTAGCCCCACCTCTCCCGCCCCACAGGTGTCAATCATAAAATATTAAAAACCAGAAGTTTTAAAATGTTGGATGATGATGTAACTTTAATAGAACTCGCAACTGAATTCTGTGTACAATTGCTTTATAAGGTATAATTTAAGTTTTTAAACCACTAATAAAATGATTTTGACATAAAACATTTTAACATTTAAGTTAACATTTAAGTTCATTTCTAAATTTAAATTATACTTTGTTTTCTGGATTTGATTTTATTTGATTATATATATATATTTATAGTGATTTACATATGTGCAGGGAGCAAAAGCTTTTTATTTATCCAAATACAATCTTATTATTTAACCAGTGTACCCATCCATCACCTATTTATTTATCCATGTTTACATGGTATAAGCAGGTTTAAATATCATGCTGAATAACAATCAAAAACAAAGGTCCAACATTAAGAATCAGCGTAAATTTTTTAAAATTTTTTGCAGCACTAGTTTCAATAGTTTTTGGACTACCTTCTTCAGCTGCTAAGTACACATGAACCAAATAAAGGGTGAAGATAAGATAAGAATAGAGATATGATAAGGACCAAGTTTACAGACCACCTATTTGAACCCCAGAATTGATGAAAATTAATAAACTAAAACAGAATTCCAACAAAATAATCCTAATTTAGTATTCAGTATACTACTGTGAAACTGTAGCACATTTAAGAATAAATTAATGGCATTAATAACTCTCTTAACTCACTGGATTAATCATAATGAAAAACCTTTTGGCACTTTCTGATTACCCCCACAAAAAGTTACGAACTCATGACTGACTAATTTTTCAGAAAGCTAACACCTGAAATGCTA